GCTGAGGGGACGCGGTGCGGCGGTCGGTGGCGGCCGGTCTGGCTGGGCTCGGCAGGTACGTGGCGACGCTGCGCGGCCCCGGTGGCGGGAGCGAGGACGGGAGGATGAGGATCCCCGGTAACGCCGTCGTACCTACCCGGCGCCGCCTTCCCGGGAGTCTGTGCCCGCCCGGGCGGAGTCGGCGCCGCCGGAGGGGGTTGCCCCTTGTCGGGGTGAGGTGACCGGGCGCGGGCGGGATTCTCCCGTGGTGGGACTCGCCCGCTCGCTGTGGCCGCCCCGGCTGCGGGGGCTGGGGTTGGGGGTTCGTCCCCCGCCACGGAAGAACGCGGGGGGGTGGGGGGGTAGGTGGCGGCCCGGGCCGTGCCGCTGTGGCCGTCTGCGGCGGGAAGGAGCCGCTGGCCCGGTCGCTGCCGGCTCCGTCGGCGTTTGCGTGGGTGCGGAGGGAGCAGCCGGCGGCAGGGATGCGGTTGGTCCCCAAAATCCAAGGGGCAAAACTGGGCAAAAGTAGTTCTCGGGGATCACCCCGGTAAAGCGCCGGTCGCGCTTGCCCCGGGAGAGAGCCGGCAGCGGACAAAGAAGCCGTCGCACGCCCGGAGCCGGCGGCTGGGAGCAGCCCTTGGCCCCTGCGGGTTTGCCGGGGTGGGGAAGAGCGTCCGGGCACGAATGACTACAATGAGGAGGGGGGAGTTGCGAGGAGAGGCTAAGCCGGCGCTGAAGTCTTCTCCTCCGCTCACAGACCCCTCGGCCGGGGGGGAAGAGGGGGGGTCAGGGCCGCTCGGTGGGTTCACAAACTTCGTCCCTCTCCGCCGGGGGCTGGGGCGGCTGGAGACGGGAGGGGAGGTCTGCTGTGTGGGACCGGGGAGCTGCGCTCGCCTCTGGCGTTTCTGGTTGCTTTAAGGTCTTCGAGCGATATCGAGGTTAATACCTGGTCGCCGGTAAGTAGTCTTGTAAGCTCTAGTAGTTAAGCAGCAGGGTTTTCCAGTTAACCTTAATTTCGTAATGCTGTTAGGTTAGAGAGTAGGGCTCAGAAAGGAAATTCTGGTTACAAGTTGATTGCGAGTGATGAGCTGTGCAGAAATTTGTGCTGCCTAAGTGGTGATGCTCCACTAGTTGCCCGAGAGTCGCAGGGCTCTGGAAGCAGGAGAACCCCGAGTGGCCAAAGCCTTGATGCCACCCTCCACGCTCCTCTTGCTGACAAAAAGCAACAGGGTTTTCAGCAGTTTGAGAGTGTTGTCTGTTTTGTTTGCAGACAGCGTGCTAAGCTTTATATTGCTCGATTCGTTCACCGTGTTCATTTGTGAGCATGTTCTTAGGAAGTCTTAAAACCAGTGATCTAGATAGCTAAAATAATTAATCTTCCACAGACTTGCTGTAACTGTGAACTTATCAGCTTCTCTTTTGAAGCAGATGTAAGGTTATTCAGTATAGAAGTGTGTATTGGCAGCTACCATCTGTTCAAATATTTGTATTCCTCAGTAAAATACAGGGCAAAACCTAAGGTCTTGTTGCTTTAATATTTTTATTGTTGTTTTTATTATAGATCTGTTTAATGAGTTCTGGGAAGGGTTAAAGTCAGGCCTTCTGTATTTGTGTCTTGGCAGTCATTCATCTGCTGTGCTAGGTTAATGTTACCTAGTGAGCAAAGAAGAATAAATAATTTACCATTCTCATTATGCTTTTAATAAATAACAAATGGGAGTGCACCTCACAGCTGCGACTGAAATGTCCGTCTTGTGACACTATATTTAAAAGGGGAATTTTTTTCCTGTAGGAGAACAGTCACAATAAGCCTTTTGATTATAGACTGCAGCTATCTTCATAGCTTCTATTGACTTGAATTAAAATTCATGTAAAATGCCAGATGAGCTGGTCTCTCAGTGTTCCACTTAAGTTTATGGATTTTTCCCAGAAAAGAAATGTGTACTTTGGATTTTTATTTTTAAGACCCTTTTTAATATGGCATTTAAGATCTTGTCTTACTGTAACTTGACTAACGCTTGTATCAGACACTTTAATTATGCTCAGTAATATGCTAACCATTTTTTTCAGAAGTTAAGAAAATGTTTCTTTACATGCATTTGCTGATACATTTAGAAAGCTTTACATATCATGAAAATTGTGATCATTTTTACTTAAGTTTACTAATTGAGTATTTTCAGTGTTAACTGAAAATGAGAGGGTCTTTGGGTCCAAGTCTTGGCAAGAAAGAGACTGTAGTCACAGTCACTGCCATCAGACTTAAACCTGAGGTGGAATTGTGAAGTTGTTTCCAAGATAAGGCAGAACAACGCTCTGCCTTAAAAAGAACAGTGTCTGCAAAGATAATCATATTTGCAGTTAAATTAACTTGGTGTAAAGAGTCTTTGTGAACCGACAGCATTCTTTGAATGTTTGTTTACAATAAAAGTTTGCAGTATTCTACCTTGCAAAGCACTGATTTTTCTCTTTAGTAAGAGGTGTACGAGCTACCAGACTCTAAACCATGTTTATTTATAGGTTTCACAAGCACTTCATAAATATAGGTCCTTGAATCTTGTGTGCTGCTTGTTTCTGTAAGAGACGCTTGCTGTCTGCACCTGTATTTTTTTAGTTGAAGATATCTCTATAGTAAAGTTTTCAAAAGAGATTTCTTTAATCATCAGTTCAGCAAAACAAAAATTCTTTTAACTTTATAAAATCTCGCTATCAAATAGACTACATGTCTCTCTTCAAACAATGTGAAATAGTGTTTTGAATGCCTAACATGAGAGTAAAGAGAGAAGTCCCACATCATAGCATTATATGACAACACTAGTGGGAATGCAATAAAAAAATATTCTCACGTTGAACCAAGTGTGGTTTTGCTAGCTCTTGAATTCTGTAGACTTGCCTAACTTACAATTTACCTTCTATTTACCATCTTGGCTAATTTACCATCTGTTGGTAAATATGTAGTGTAAAGTCATTTGCAAATAAAAGTAGACTACGTAAAGACTTGAGTAGTACAATGCTTTCTTTTCTCTCGTATCTTACTGGCTCAGAAAAAACATTTGTTGCGTGTTTGGGCTCCTGAAGCAGAAATTTCTATCGTAATTGCAAAATTGTAAAGGTGAGAATTGTTTTTTGCAAGCCCTAAGGGAATTCCTCTGCCAAATCTTGAATTGTGTTTGTGCGATGAACTGGCATTGATAACAGTGTTTGAACTTGCTTGAATTCTGTGGGTAAGCTTAAATACAAAACAGATTAGGGAGAAAAAAAAAAAATCCACCGAGCTTCTTTGTCCCCTGCCAATATCTGATGAATATCTCACACTAGATACTTTAAATTAGTGTCCATATATGCTGTACAAGAATTTTACTTTTTAAACTGCCTGCTTGCACCTGATAGGTCTAGGTATGGAGTAGCAGTACTTAATTGAACTTCTTTAAAAGGTATTTATTAGTCTAGTACTCTAATTCCCTACTGAGTTCTTTAGAGCTTAAAACATATTAAAACAGACTGTATAATGCCAAATATTTCAAAACTTTTTTTTTAAGCCCACTGAGAAGAATGCAGGCCCAGTGGTGGGCTAATGCCAGTCCTTTTGAGGAACTGCTGCAAAAAATCCACTTTCCTATCCCCTGCCAAATTAACTGAAGCAGACGTTGGAGTCTAATAAAGGGAGTCCTTGAGACTTTATTACATTTTGAAAGGCCTGCTGTGTGAAGATTAAAACGCTATACCTAATAGGCACCTTTTTTGGTAAATGCTAACTAGAATTTACTTTTCATCAGAAAGTTTAGAAACAGTAACTTGTTTTTCCTTATGTGATTTTTTTCTTTTCCACTTGAGCAGGTAACCGTTCTGTTGTGATGGTGCTCTTTACTATTAAAGCTAAAAATGAGATTTTTGATATGTGAAATGTTTGGTGCTGGCGCTGGTTTTAAATGGGCTATAACAATTAGGAGATTGTTTAAGTTGTCATCTTCAACCTTCATTGTATTTAAAAGCAATCTGTGAAAGACAAACTCCAGAGTTTGTAGTAGGTGGTTTTTGCCAATACTTTTTTTTTTTTTCAGAAGAAAACAAACCACAATAAGTTACTACTTTTCAGGGAGCTTTTTAGTATTTAGTTATTGACTGCTTTGATTCAGACAAGTAGCTGAACCCCTCTTAGAGTAATAACAAGAAAATTAGATTAAGCATTTTGATTTGACTGCTGTTGAAAGTGTTCACAGTTCTTGATTGCTGTTAGAAGCTATAGAAACATGTTAAACTGACTGCTGTTAAACTGATTTCTTCATAGTATGTTTTCATTTAATATTAGATAAAATAGCAGATTAGAGCATCGTTTTGTCGTGAAGTTATGTGGGTAGTCAGCAGTGCAAGTGTGGCAGCGGAGAGGTAATAAAAAGCTGCAGCATTTTGACAGCTTCCACCAAATTTGCGTTATTTCCAGATGAAAGTGTAAGGAAATTAATTTATTTTGTTATTTCATCCTGATTTATTACGCTGCTTGAATTTTGTACATCATCCAAATTGCATACTATCAAGACGAAAATAATCATGTATTTGGTAGGCACTAATGCTACTCCAAGCTTTCACCATATATTAATGTGGTAGAAAAAGTATTAAGAAATGTCACGATTTTATTCTAATAAGTGTGCTGCCCTGAAATGTCAGAATATCAGCTTTTGTTCACAGTAGCAGTATTACTACTAAAGAGTGCTGTGTCAACACTGTGGATTTTTACACACTGTCAGCTTGGCTCCTAGTAAAGCTATCTGCTTACCATGTGCTTCATGTTCCTTCACAGCAAGGCTGTTCATTGCTGCCTTAGTCAATAATACGAACCCCCTCGCAAGCCTTACCCAAGCCTGTAGTGTTTAATGATGCGGAAATTTAATGTGCTTTTTTCCCCTCCTTTTGTTTATCATTACTTTGAAGAGTTCTTTCCCAAAAGAGAGCTTTTATTTTTAGGACCGCCTAGCTTTTTGCATGTATGTTTGGTTTCATTAATGCAAAACGTGTGTTCAGCTGATGTCTTGGTAACAACGTAATGGTGTTGTGAATCTTGAAACGGAGATATTTAATATGAGCTGCTCTGTCTTGTATGGGTGGTGTATCCAGCTTATGCCTGCTCACTGCTAAGTGAGAAGTAACGCTAGGAAGGAAAAAAGTTGTGAATGGAAAGTGTTTTACACAGATGGTATGCTTACGAGTGCCCATTTGACAGGCTATGGGAAAAGTTTAGCTGAGGGACTTTATTTTCAGCTCTTCTAGGAATAACTTGTATAACTTTTTTACCTACTGTATCAGAAAGAGCTTGTTTTTTGATAACTGAGAAGTTATGCATGGATTTATTTACTCATAAATCTCTGTTTAGGCTGAGATTGATATTTAAAGTATGACCGGAGTGATAGTCTTGTAAATAAAAAATTCCATAATCTTTTGGGATTTGTTTTTTCTTTTTTTCTGACTATTAAAAGCACTGCAAGATATAGGCAGGTTAGGTAGAAAAGCTGTAGGAAAGGAGTTAAATGGAACATTTCTCATAGGAGTAGGAGCATGTAGGTAGGATGGATTTTTTTTTTTTTTTTTTTTTTTTTTTACAAACATACCACTTTGCTTGGTGTAGATTGATGTGATGGTCCTGAGCTAGAAATGCATTTGAACATTTGGAACACATTAAGCAGGCTTCTAATCATTTTTCTCTGTGTGAGTCAGTGTGACTTTCTGCACTTCATAACGTAGCTGAACTTGTGTAAATTATCATAAAGGTAGGGAATGGCGCATCTTTGAGCCTGTCGCTTACTTGATGTACTTAAAGTTTTTGCTCCAAACAGCCCTGAGATTTGTGCAGAAATAGTAAAATACATTAAAAACTGACAAATAAGTTTTTCCTGAGCCTTTTTTCCCTTGGAAATGGCTAAATAATGTTTTTTAAAAATCAGTTTGGGGGGAAAAAAAAAACAAATTTCATAGAAAATTTCAGCCCAATGAGGTATGCAACTGAAAACGACCAGTGGTACTGGTGATGTGAAATACTGTGGTACCACTATTGAACATCCAGTCAGATTGTGAGTTTTCAGTGGAACTAGGAACATGTCTTTCAAACTAGTCAACAGAGGGGAAGATGTGGCAGAAGAGTTGTTCCCATTTTGCTCTTAGCTAGGTTCTCAATCTTTGCTTCTCTTGGATGGTTTTTGGTGCACTTTCCTAGGTGCTGTAGGCATAGAAAAGGAGAGGCATCCAGGCAGCCTTTCTACATCCCTGTTCAGAAGCCTGCATCTTCTGTTAATTGTGAAGACTGGAATCCAAAGAATCAGGAATGTAGAGACACCTTCATGGTGTTGCCAGTATAGTAGTATTGGGTATGGCTTGCTTGGTCATCAAAAAAGAGAGTGGTGGGAACAATGAAAGCGAATGTGTTTGTGTAGATGTGAGCCCGAGTTTGAGACTGGCCAGATAGGTGTTTTTCAGCTGGGCTGATGAACCTTAAAGAACTGTTTCTGCAATTTTATTTTTTTCAAGATGGCAGTGTTTTAGCTTATTAAATGTAAAACAATGACATGTAATAGTTGCCCTATAGAGCTGAAAACATTTTTGAAATTTAACCTTGAAGAAATGTCCTGTAGCTCTGGAAGTCCCTTCATTTTAATTTCTTGACTCAACAGTCTTTATTTTTATCATCACTTAGAGCATGTAATTATAATGCTTATAACAGTTAAGAAGAACTATAGGGAAAACAAACAAGAATATTTTTCAAACTTACTTAAACTCAAAAATAAGCTGTTCATCTCTGTGTTATGGCAGAAAAGCTCCAAAGCACAAAACTGACAGTGTTTTTCTGTGTAAATCATGTTTGTGCAACTGCTGTTGATAGTTCAAAATAAAACAAATTTCTGTGTGAAATTGTCTGCAGAAACCACCCCACCCCCCCGCAAAGTCCTTTTTATTCTTGTAAGGTACTTTTTGTCCCTTAAGTCTGGGTAGTTTCTTAGAGGTGGTTGATTTTGGTTTTTTTGTGGCAGCAATTAACAGAGACAGAGAAAAATTAGTAACATACTCTTTCTGTCTGAACAAATGAATTTTTGACATGTACCTGATAATGTGGAAAAGCAACTTGTTTAACATGGATGTATACACAGTACAATACTTGAGGCAAAACAGTTTTGAACAGTGTTCTCTGAGTTTAAGATGAGCAAAAAGTACTGATGTAAATAAAACATTACTGCATATGCTAATTTGGGGATTCCATTCTTTGTGTTTTCCTGTGTGCTTTATGAAGTAGCTAATGAACTGGACCTACGTGTAAGTAGATGGCATCATCTCTTCATGGGCCATCATCTTTCTAGATCTTCTCTCTGCCTTGTCTTTTCAATTGTAAGATCCAAGCAGATTTCTCTGTAAAATGCAATGTATTCTCTCATTTAGATGCTATGGTTTGTTTTTTGCATGTTAAGTACCTTTGTGAAGCCTTAATTTTCTCTATATTTATATAACATGGAAAATGTTTTTTGCAGTGAATAATCACTGCTAAGTAATTCCTTCACAAATTTCTCCATACTACTTTCAATTTTTAGTTTTGAATCATGCAAAGATTTTTGTGATCTCTGATAAGCTGCTGGAAAATAGCTTTCTGTTAGGGCTTGTAAAATTCATGTGTTGTACTTGTTTTGTGTTGATCTTCTGAAAAACATAGGGAATTAAAAAAAAAAAAAAAAAAAAAAAACCCAAACTAAAAGATACTGTCAGTTGAATTGCCTATTCATAGTACTCTTTTACCTGTAATATATTTTTGGTATGATACTTAGTCACAATTGTTGTTATCACTTAATCATGTGATGTATTAAATACACATCATCATACTTCATGAGAAGTCTTATCGGCTAGTTCTGCCATTCCAGTGAACTGTTACAAGATCAGATGTGTAATTTA